ATTTAAAAATCTCCGTCACCTTTGTTGTTTGACTAAGAATTGTTATGATTATAATGGTTGGTGCATATGGTTTGAAGTTAATAAATGATATCATGTTCTTTGATCACTTGACAACAATATGAATAATATTGTCCAAAATATGCGCCTTGCTCGAGTGAGGTGAGTTCTTTTTTGGTGCCTCATGATTTTTGCCATACCACATTTTTTTTTTTTGCACGTTGTGTTTGAAAGGCACGCTTCGAGATCGGGCTCAACGTGGTTTACTTGTTGACTCTTATAACTATGGCCAATAATGTTGTGGACAAGCATCTTTTGGATCACTCTTCCCTAACTGGAGAGCTTAATAACTTATGTTCATTTTTCTTCTCATTTTAAAGATAATTGTTTAAATCTTGCCTTTTTTTTTTTTTTTTTTTTTTTTTTTTTTTTTGAAAAAAAAGGAATTGGGAAAAACACTTGCGACACACTTCTTTATTTAGGTTGAGGTTTTTTTATTCATGTGTGGCTCTGTGGCTTTTAAAAGATCTTCTTTACTACAGCTTAGTGCAGCTGCCTCATAATTTTTTGTTGTTTAGAAATGGTGGTTCCGGAAGTAAGCCAACAGCTGTTAGCAGAACTTGAGGAAATGGGATTTCCCAAAGAAAGGGCTGTTCGTGCACTTCATTTTTCTGGTATGTCCTCCTTATTAGCTATAAACTTGACTATTTTTATAGATTCTTTTCGTGTATTGCCGGTCCACTGTAAATCACTCTAAGGAGAATTTTTGTTTTTGTGTTTTCGATGTTTTGCAACGCTTTCTTCTCTTTTTTTCTTAGTTGTTGCTCCCAATCGGTAGATATGTGTAGACATTTTGAGGTTTGACTTGCTTGGTTAGCATGAGGCAGTTGTCTGATCCTGGAAAGAAATTTGATTCCTTGGAATAAGGGTTTTTGTCTTTTTCTTTTTCCCGACTAGTATTAACTATCTATGATTTCAAACTTCCATACTATGTTGATATCTGTTTTATTATTAGTCAGTTGATTGACGCACGTAGCATGCATTGTAAGATGTTTTCTACTGCCTTTGTCTTTGCCAATCATCTTTTGCACCAAGGCTAGTAGTTTTCTCCAAGTCAAGTGCATAAAGGTAACATGCTTTTGATGGGTCATCACCGTCTGAGACTGTAGTATCTTTTTAAGGGTTGTGTCGACTAGCCTGTTCAGATGGGTTGGACGACGTGGGGCGAGGTGAAGTGTAGGTCTTAGTTACATAATTCGCTAGTTATTCGGTTGCAGATATTGGTTTATCTCTGTCTCTCTCATACAAAGACATACATGAGAGATTCCTAATGTTTAATTACATTATAGTGTGTCAAGGCCATTGATGTTTTTCTGATACTTGTTGAGATATTTAATAAAATAAGATATAAGATGTTGGTTCTCCCAGGAAATAGTAGCCTTGAGGATGCAGCAAATTGGATAGTTGAACATGAGAATGACCCAGATATCGATAAAATGCTATTGGTATGAGTTTTTACATCTATTTTGGCAACCATTAGTTGACATATTTGTACTTTTTTGAAGTTATTATATGAAGTTATGTATGAAGTTATGATTAACCTTGTTGCACAGGTACCTGTTAGTTCCAAGCAACCTCAGGCTCCAAAGCCATCTCTCACACCAGAAGAGATTAAGCTGAAACAACAAGAATTAAGGTGATCTTCATCTGGATTCTTCGCATCCCTTACCGGCTGTTCTTACCCTGTTTTCTTGTCATGTTTTTAATAATGAGTATGCACATTGTATATATATTACAATTGGTTCTTGCACTTTCCGTAAGCAAAAGTGGAACCTGTGGTCTTAGTTCTAAATGGCGAATGGCGAGGTGAGGCGATTCGCCCATAGCCTCGCCACGAGGCGAGGCGATTCGCCATGGCGAGGCCTCGGCAACACAAGCCATCAAAGCTTAAAAAATATATTTATATAGATAGTAATATCATATATTTAAGTTTTAAGTGCCAAAAATAACCTTAAATATCCTCAAATAAAATAATATAAATTAAATTTGGTTGTAATTACTAAAAGCATCTCAAACTTCAATGTGAATACTAGTAACATTACAAACAAAATATCGAATTTACACTGTGTAGTAACATAAAATAGAAAAATGTTAAAGTGGGTAAATAAAAAGTGTAAAATAAAAGTAAATTAAATAAAGATGTTGCACCCTTTCACCTTTGACTAATGACCATACTAGTAAACATAAATAAAAGTAAAAAATGAAGAAAGAAGAAAAAGAGAGAAGGTAGAACAGGAAAACTGAGCGATAAGGGAGAAGGAAAAGAAAGGAAAAAACATGCATCACCGACCATCTTGGCGGCGAGATGGTGGCCGGAGTTCAGAGGAGGCCTGAAATGGATGGGTCCACCGTGGGTTTCTACAATTTTCAAACATGAGAAGCCTAAGGAGTGCTTTCACTTAAACCCTAGTTTGGGGAGAAGCCATTTAGGGATTTTTCACCTTCAGCTTTCGTATTCTCAGTCTAAAATTGTAGTTTTCAGTTCGCGGGTCTGGGAGATGATAAAGTGAAGAAAGAGCTTTTTAATTTTATTCTCTTTTTTTTTCTAAAAAAAAAAAAGAGAATAAAAAAATGTACTACACCTTTAATTTCTATGAAAGGTGCTGAGGCGCGCCTCACAGGCGCCTCTCGCCATGTGAAAAGGCGATCCGAGGTGACCTGAAGTGAGCGCCTCTCGAACAAGGTCGCCTCAGGCAGTGGCGAGGCGATGTAGCCCTCGCCTCGGTCGCCTCGCCTCGAGGCGTCGCCATTTTAAACTATGCCTGTGGTGTCCTCAGACTTTTGTTGTCCTGTACAGATGATACTTTTTCGTGCTCAATGACATGCTATGATTACTACATTAAATCATTTTTTCGTTCTGTTTGCCCCTACTTGCCACTTTGTTATCTCAGGGAACGAGCTCGCAAGAAGAAAGAAGAGGAAGAAAAGCGAATGGAAAGAGAAAAAGAGAAGGTAGATTCTAATTTTATTTCTTCTATTCTAGATTTATAATACCTGCTTCTGTTCATTGACACTATGAAATCCGGGATCCATGGAGTTACTGCTGAAAATTTTATTTTGTGATATCATCTTGCAACGGATAATAAATATGCATACTAAGCATTAACAGATAATTATTTTTCTATACAATTTTTTTTTCAGTTTTTCCATACGCATTATTTCATGCAATTTCATTGTTGACATTTTCCCAGGAAAGAATTCGAGTTGGAAGGGAGCTGCTTGAAGCAAAGCGTATTGAAGAGGAAAATGAAAGAAAACGGTGTGCCATTATCTGCAGTGTATTTCAGTTCAGATTTCTGCATTATTGTTTGATATTCTCAGTGGGTAGGGTGTTTGCTCTTACAGTATACTAGCCTTGCGGAAAGCAGAAAAAGAGGAAGAAAGAAGAGCTAGGGAGAAGATTCGTCAAAAGTTGGAGGAAGATAAGGTTCTCATGATGTAATTAATTGATGTTTGATTTATTGTATCAACTACTCACCTTTACCAATGTTTAATGCGGGCATTAGAGCAACCCACTTTCCTACATTCTATTTATTATATTCTAATGCTCTAGTTTATGCATTCACGGTTCCTATAAATGGGGTAACGATCAATTTATCCTAGTAATTAATTCTTCTTCTTTCATGCAGAACGACAATAAGAACAGTTTTTCACCTGAATAGTTTTTTTTTTTTTTTTTCATCCTCTTTAAAATATACATAATTGTTTGTTGAGGTCTTGTACTAAATGATTTTCTGGGTTATGACAGGCTGAAAGAAGAAGAAAACTTGGGTTGCCCGTGGAGGAATCATCTGCTGCAAAATCTTCTGCTCCAGTGGTGGAGGAAAAAAAGGTATTGGTTGACCTGATTTTCCAGTGAAGTAGTCTGCTCTGTTTTTGTCTTACCCTTTTTTTGTATCTTAAAATTGAAATACAGAGCTTCCTTCCTGTCCGACCAGCTACAAAGGCAGAGCAAATGAGGGAGTGCCTGAGAACACTTAAACAGAATTATAAGGTAACTACAACTTAGTATGTTCATTTAATATAAAAAAGGAAAGAAACAGACTTTGGTTTTGTATCTCTGTACTTGTGACTTTTCACTATCCCATGAACATTACATTTAAGGTTTTATGTGGTGGAAGAATAATCAGCCTTGTTAAATGTGAATGGAAATGATACATTTTGTTGTAGTTAAATTTATATTTTCTCATTACTTTATTACATGCTTTTGTTTTGTCTTTGCGTCTCCATATTGTGATGAATGAGCTGCACGTTTATGGGCATTTTCCCGAGGATTTGAGTGTAGACTGATACTATCTACTCGACGATCTGAGCGTCATTTTTATTTGCTAGGTCTGTAAGACATACTTTGTCGTGTATCTTTGTTTTCTTAATTGAATAGGATGATGATGCAAAAGTGAAGACGGCTTTCAACACGCTTTTGACTTTCGCAAAGAATGTGGCAACGAATCCGAATGAGGAGAAATTTCACAAAATTAGAATCACGAATGCTAATTTTCAGGTGCAATTTGTTGAACTGTACTGCTACTTGCCTTTTTTTTTTCCAGCATATGTATTCTTCCAAAAAAACGTTCTTTCTAGATCATACAGGATGAATCTAAAAATATAAATTAATTACCAACTCATAAGATTTTCATTTTGCTTCTCTGGTAGCCACCTACATTTTGGCTACTTTATTTACTTATTTATTTTCTGACCGATATTTTTGGCGATGTAGTATTCGCTTAGTATTTAACTTCTTATATCTGTGGTTATCCTCAAAAGTTAGTTTTGTAAATCACATTTGAAATGTGATTTGCAGGAGCGAGTTGGAAAACTGAAAGGAGGCATAGAGTTTCTTGAACTGTGTGGTTTTGAGAAAATGGAAGGGGGAGAGTTTTTGTATCTTCCTAGAGAGAAAGTTGATATTGCGGTGCTCCACTCCGCTGGAAGTGAGTTAAACAGTGCTATCAATAACCCCTTCTTTGGAGTTCTTTGACCTTCCCTTGGTCGTAAATCTTCTACGTTCTCTGGATGTTCGTTTCTGTTCCCTGTTTTACCATTATAGGAATCATTCTGGAATGGACTCACTCGGGTAAAATTTTAATTTCCCAAAAGAATGCCTCATCTTTCCCATTTACTCTTTCGCGTCTTTTCTGAAAGTATACACAACTGCTCAGTAGATCAATAATGTTTTTGGTTGTGGATGGACTTTGAGAATTAGACATATATGGGGATTTAGTTGCAATTTTAAAAATTTATGAGTTATTGCAATTTGATCATTGAGATTAATTTGTAATTTATTTAAAGTTTGAATAACTTAGCTCTAGCCCTTGGCTTTTTATTTTTGATTAGTGCATATTTAGTTTCATACATAATGCATATTTAGTTGAGAACATAGCGGCAGTAGAAGGCTTCCGGATAATGCTGTAAATTTCAAATTTTGACTGCACATTTAGGGTGTGGTTGTTTACAAAATATTGCACTCACATTTAATTCATACTTAAAATTTAATTCAATTTTAAATTAATTCCACTACCTTTAATACTATTAATATAATTAAATAATACAACCAATTTGCAATGCCCGTTTAATTGTGGTTTATTTGAGGATTATTTATAATTATTATTATTATTATTGTTATTATTATTATATTGGTATGTCTAAATATTATTATTTGTCTAATTGTGATTAAATGCTTAAATGATTATTTTATTATTAGTATTATTATTAATATTAATATAAATGTCTTATATGCTTAATTGATTTTATGTGTATAATGTGCATTATTAAATATTAAAATGTGTGTGTTATAAATATATATATTTATCTGATTCTTATTAATCGGAGAGCCCGAGAGCCTGCCCGAGCGAAGCGGCCCAGATGAACTAGCCCCGACCCGGTTTCCCTCTTGTGCGCGTGTGCGTGTGATTTATTTTCTTACTCGCCAAACCTTGTAATCGTAGTCTAAATATTGTTCTCTATATCCCTCTCAGGCAAACACGCCTCACAGAGAAAGAAACCCTTATCTGCTCCCCAAGCAATCCCGCCGCAACTTTTATTTTTCATAAAATCTCTCTCGTTAGACTTAGATAACACGCCTGCAGCCTCAAATCTCTTACTCTCTCTCGATCGAAATTTGCACAGGAAGAAGAGAAGAAATATCTTCTCTCTCGATCCCTCGTCATCACCCTCATCATCCCTCATCGTCACCGGCCTTCCCTGATCAACAGCAGCCCCTGCCGCTGCACCCAACCAGACGACCTCAGCAACTTTCGGCGAAACCCTCGACGGCGATCGACCACCATCTGCCGCCCCTGACGAGAAACCCTCCTCCGCCGTCGCAGCCTCCTTCTCGGCGACCCCATGTTCGCGAGTTCTCCTCCTCCACCGTGACCATCCTCTACGAGCAAGCCCTTCCGGCGACCCACCACCGCGCGCAGGCCCCGTCTTTGCCGTAATGGAGCCGCTGCTCCACCGCGAGCCTCATCCGAGCCGCGTCGAGGAAGGCCGCGACCCTGTAACCGGCGAGTTCAAGTCCACCACCGGTGTCTCATCCTCCGTCCGTTGATTGCTGTTCGTGAGGCACCATCGCTGCCAGGTCCCGCGCATCGCGTGATCGTTGTCTTCACCGTGAGTCAGCCGTTGTCGAGAAAGAACAGAGATCCGTCCGGAAGGAGCAGCCCTTCGTGGCCGTGCGAGGAGAGCAGCGGCATCCCTTCGACCCTTGCTGCTCTTCGCGTGGTTGCTACCCGTCGTCCAGCAGTCCCGTGAGCCGTTTCCGGCGAGAAGCAGCCACCACTCCCGGCGAGATCGTTAACTGCTGTTCGCGTGACCAAGTACTGTCCCGGGCCCTTGCTGTTCGCGCCGCTGCTGCACTTCCCTTCCGGCGAGACGCGAGAATCCATCGAGCCCCGTCGTTCCGTCAACCCTCGTTCGTCCTGTTTTTCGAACGTTTCCCGAGAACGGTACCGACGACTTAAACCTTTCGTCCTTTCGCTTCATATGTATTGATTGTGATTTCAGGTTTAAGTGTCGTTTGAATGTGTTCTATGAATATATGAATGCCTATGATTTTATGTGTTTGTAATTGGTTCATTATATATATTATTGTGTAGACGAGTTCTTCGATTTTAAGAAATGGGACGAGACCTCGTCATTCGTGTTTAAGTTACTCTGGAATGGAACATTTTATCATCCTTGGTCTTATGGTGAAGACTGTTTGTCTCATTTTTGTTGCATTTTTCGTTATTATTTTCTCATTCTTTTTTCCCCATTTTGAGTCATTTAGTTGGTTTTAGGTTCATTTTGTCGTTTATTGTGTGTTTTGCGTCGTTTATTGTGTGTTTTAGGTTCATTTTTTCCGGTAGTCTTCCGTTTGTGTTTTCGTTTTTGGTGTGTAGGTCGGGAGCTTCGGGAGAACAGGTTCTGGGAATTTACTGGGGAAGTTTACATCATTAGATAGAGGGTTTCGTTGACTACGCGTAGGAAAAAACGGAACTCAATTCCGAGTTCGGACGAGCTCAAACGAGCCAAAATCTTAAAGCCGCGCATAGCTGCCTGCACCCAGGCGCCGCGGCGCGCCAGTGCCGCGACCTGGACAGAGGACCAGATGTTGCGCGCCGCGGCGCGACGCCCACCGCGGTGCAACAGACCATTCCGCCGCTGCGCGACACCCACCGCGACGCGATGATGTGGAAGTGGTCATCAACCCAGGCGAGTCCGAAGATGAGGATGGCGACGACCTCAACATATGGCTGGAAAACATGCTAGAGGAGCCGTCAAGCCCGATATATCGACCTTCATGCAAAAGGGACTGGCCGAAAGGATGTGATCCACAATCCAAGCTTAAGCCTAAGAAGCGCGAGATTAAGCGAGCCCGAAGGAAACGTAAGGCAAAGGCTAAGGAATCAAGTTGTTGGTGCAAGCCTTGTACAAGAAAGAAACGAGCATGGCGCTTGGAGGCTCGAAGGCGTGGTTTGCGATGGGTTGAAGAAGGGTGGTGGATACCGGCGGAAGGTTGTGCTAGGTTGGATGGTTGGGACCCATGGCCATCGGGCGAGCAGCTGGTGATGATCGGTGACGAGAAGGTGGGCACGAGCGAATGGCACGCATCGTGCCCTGATGCACGCGATGGGCCGAGTGATCGTGCACGAGGTGTAGTAGGGTGCACGGCAGGTGAGCAGGCCACGAGCGTCGACTGGGACGCGTTGGCGTTCGACGACAAAAGCGCGGGGCGCGGTTGGTGCGCAGGTGCAGGCAACGCGGGTAATGGCCTATGCCGAGCGAGCTTAGGAGTACCGGGCGTAGGCACACACGCACGGGAGGCTGGCAGCGGATGCGAGGCGCGCGCTGGGCGCGCAAGTGCGTGTGACGCAGGCGCACGGGAGACCGCGCGCCACGAGGATTAGGCGGCGTGAATATGGAATTGTTTGGAGTGCAAGCCAAACAAGATCAAGACAATTTAGTTAATTAGGACTCTAGTATATTTAGTTTCCTTCTTGCGCAATAATATCTAGATTGTTTAGGAATTTAATATTTTATTGCTTTAATAAGTTTCCTAGGTAGATTAGAACTAGTCATAGTTAGGATCTATAAATAGGGATGTTCCCTCATTGTTTTAAGGAGGTCTTGGATTTAATGAAATAGAAGGAACGTTTGTTCAAACCGTGTGTTAGGATTCGTGAGAGTTCGATCATACAAATCGAATTGGTGAGGCTAAGACCCGAGCCAGTTCAAAACCGAGTGAGCAAGGCTAATTACCGAGTGAACTCAAGTATCGTGAGAGAGTTAGGCTAATAACCGAGTCGATCACACCTATCGTCGACAGCAAGGCCGTGGCGAAGCTGTGTTCGAGACAAGCGAGTGGAACGAAACGCACGATCCTTCATCACGCGACACCTGCGCGTCCCAACTTATTTTTTGACCTGTTTTTGCTCAGTTTTTCGATCCTTATATTTGGGGACTCGTTCCCAACCCAAAAAAAAGGATCTCTCGACTGGGTGAAAGCCCTAGGTCCCGAGAAAACACCCAATCTCCTCATCTTCCCTTCTTTCTTCTTCTTCTTCGATCTTTTTCTTCTCTTAATCTTTATTTTCTATTTTTTATCTAAAATTTGTTCTTGCTTTTGGGATTAGGCTTGTAATTCATGTTCAACCCGTGGATTTGAGATTATTGGTAATTTTCTTTTCTCTTCTATTTAACTCATGAATAATGGTTGAATTTGGAGAATTGATTATGATTGTTGAATTTGATTTACGTAGCTAATTTCTGTCGCTAGGGATAGGGGAATGATTGTTCTTGTTTGAATTGTATCTTGTCAGACTTCGATTCGTTCATACTTATGTGTGTTGTTTGGATAAGGAATTGATGAATTTGTATTCAATAGATTGATATAATCGAAAAGTGACATTTCGATCTTGCTATTGGTGACAGTTGGATGTTAATGTGTCGAGTTAGGGTTTATCAATTTTATATGATTAGTTGATTGAACACCTTCTAATTGACTTAGCGGCTTTCAGAACTGAAAGGGGAGAAGTCGTATGATATGGAATATTATATACACAAAGTTAAACCGGTCTCCTCAGTCGGTCGAGAGGGTCACACTAGGAGGAAACCAAGACAAGAAGCGGGAGGATCGATCATTCAGACAGTCGACCAAGCAGGTGGTCGATCAGTCCATCGCACAGCCCGAGAGACGATCGAGCAACCCATCGCTCGATCAGATACATGATCGGGCAACCTATTCGACCTCAACAGGTCGATCACTTTGAGGAACCAATAATCGACCTAGTCATGGGCGCGTGTACCGCGGGCACGCGTAAGAGCCTCTAACTGAACCTCAGGAAAATATTTACCCCATGTGCAGGACACGTGTCGAGAATGTAGTGGGTGATAGCGATAACCACCTCTGACAGCTCCCAACGCCTTGCACCACCTCTGACATGTGCGCGGCGTGTCAGAGTACGGACGGGCAGCTTGGGCAGCCAGCTCACCTTATTCGGGCAGCGATTAGGGCAGGTATCTCACCCCTATATAAAGGGGGTGAGCCTTTCTCCCTGAACACATTCTATTCATTTTCTTCACTTCAGTATACTCATACACATACTGACTTAAGCATCGGAGGCTCTTCACCGGACACAACCCCCGGTGTGAGAGTTATTTGCAGGTTTCCGGCGTTCTACCGGCGAGGACAAAGATCGATCCATTCCAAACCGGACCAGGACGCTTACACTTACATTATTGGCGCCGTTTGTGGGGATTTTTTTCTTGTTCAAAAGGTTGTGTTTGAAGCTCAGCCATGGCGGACGGAATTCCCAAAAATTTGCAGTCAACGTTCGACGAAGCTTGGACGACGACCAGGCCGTTGGGGCAAGGCCCTCCTCCGGGTTTTTCTGGCCCATCCCAGACTCCGATCACTCCCACACCTATCCTTCAAGGTGTGGGGGCGACGACGACGATTCCCGGGGGAGATGCCGGCTCCAGTCGAGCCCAGGAGGTTCGCGCAGCAGCAGCGGCGGCGATGCCACCGCCACCGCCACCAAATCCAACACTAGGGCAGGGAGGAGCGATGGCGCAAGGAGGAGCGCCACCACTGGCAGCTGTACAAGCCCCCGTTCAGCAAATGGTGACGATGACCTGAGAGGAGATGCAGAGGATAGCGGTGGCCGCGGCGGCGCAGGCGGTGCAGCAGGTCACGAGCCACACGTCTCATGCCACCACTGCGCCAACCACGGTGGCCGGGAACCAGGATGAGGATGTGTCCAGTTATGGAGAGGGAGGAGCTGGAAGATATCGGGCGATGGAGAGGATGGCGGAACAGTTGCGCCAGTTGCAGGACAGGGTGGAGGGAAGGCCAGAGAGGAGAGCTCGAGGACATCCCTTTTCGAGGGAGATTCTCGCTGCTCCTTTGCTGAATAATTTCAAGGAGACCAACTTGGTGTATGACGGGTCTTCTGACCCGTCGAGGCATGTGAGGACCTTTGAAAATATGACCGTGTTACACGGATATGCTGATTCTGTTTGTTGCAGGGCGTTTCTATCGACCTTACGCGGGGGAGCCCTTGACTGGTTTCACCAGTTGCCCTCGGGGTCGATTGCAGACTTTGAGGATTTTGCCAACAAGCTTACCAATCAATATTCGAGTGCAGTGGCGCATGAGAAGACGTACTTGACGTTGATGGCGATGAGGCAGGGGGAGAAGGAATCATTGAGGAAATATGTCGCTCGATATAACCAGACATGTTTGGAGGTGCATTCGGCTTCAGATGAGGTGAAGGCGGGAGGATTGATAAGAAGTCTTCGAGCAGGGCCTTGCCGAACTTCCCTGGCAAAGACCCCTGCTCGATCATATGAGGAAGTCTTGAAGCGGTGCAGGAAGTATATTAATCTGGAAGAAATGGAGGTAGAATTCGCGAAGCTGGAAGGGCCGGCTCGACCAGAGCAAAATAGGGAGCAAAGCCCACCAAGAGGGAGGTCGCCGAGAAGGAGTTCGCCCAAAAGAAGTGGGTCAGGAGGGAAGGTCAGGATTCGAAGCGAGAAAAAAGGGATGACAGGTGGCAGGGAAGGCCGTTGTTATTCGAGAGACAGAGGTATCACAATTTTACACCCTTGAGGAAAGATTTGACGGAGGTGCTCGAGGCTATGGAGCAGAAGATGTCGACCGAGGATGTAACGTAGCCGAAGATAAGGTTCACAGGCCCGACTCAGCCCAGATCGGATATATATTGTCGATTTCATCGAGTTTACGGCCATACCACGGAGAATTGCAGGCATTTGAAGGATGAGATTGACAGACTGATTCGAGAAGGACATTTGAAGGAGTTCGTGTATCACGATAGGGTGAAAGGAAAAGGAAGGAGAAGGTGTAGGGAGGACTCGGATGAAAGGAGTGATAGAGATGAGGAGGGAGATGGCGGAGATGGTCAAGATGGTCGAGGTAAGAAGCCAAGGAGAGAGGGCGATAAGGGAGGGCATGGAGGAG